TCGGGACGGGCAGAGCCCTCCTCACGGGCCGCCCAGGCTCCCGGCTGTTTGAAGGTTGGCATTCTCTCCAATCAGGATTTTACTCTTTTTAAACGTTTTCATATTTCACTTGATTTTAATGCTGATCTCGGACAGTGAGTACAGCCCCGATCTGGTCACCCGATGGCCACGACACCCACGTTCCTGGTCAGTTTTCGTGGCCTCGGGCAGCTCTACCCAGCGCCGAGGGTGTGTGCGCGGGTCAGATGGTGGGTGCTAAACGTGTCCCTGGGCCAGGGGGTCCCCGCCAGGAGGGCGGGGTGGGCTGACAGCGCAGCCAGAGGCGGACACGTGGTAGGAACGTGGCCACACGTGGCACCTGGGCGCGTCTGCCTGGGAGGACCGTGTTGCCCCAACCTGGCCGGTCTTCGTTGTCAGCAAAACACCTTCCCACACGTCCTGTTCGATGTGCACTGAATCGGTTTTACAGTTGGTTCTTTCTGTCCTCACCCGAGAACGTGCTTACTGATGTGTTTAGAGCGAGAGGAAGGTGGGGGGGGGGAGAGAAAAATATCAATGGGAGAGCGAAGCCTGGATCAGTTGCGTCCCGTAGGCGCCCTGACCGGGGATCGAGCCCACCCCTTCTTGGTGTATGGGATGGCGCTCAGCCCCGAGCCGCGCCGGCCAGGGGTGTGTGTGATTTTGGGGGGAACCTCCACACCGTCTTCCACGGCGGCCGCTCCACTCGCCATTCCCGCCGTTGGTGCGGGTCACAATTTCTTCACGTCCCGTCAGCGCTTGCTTCCTGTTTTGTTCGATGGCAGCCGCTGCCCTGATGGGTGTGAGGGTGTCTCGCTGTGGTTCTGAGTTGTGGCTTTGATGCTGGTCAGTTACTTTTGTGTGTGGTGCGAGGTCGGGCCCCACCTCACTCACCCTGCGGCGTGGCCGTCCGTCCTCCCGGCGCCATCTGCTGAGGACACTGTCCTTTCCCGTCGTGGCCGTGGCCGTGGCCCCTGGTGGGAATCCATGCGACCACAGGGGTGAGGCTGATTTTGGGGCTCCGTGCGTCCCACCGGCCTCTGTCTGTCTGTCCGTCCGTCCGTCCGCAGCACCAGCTGGTGCAACACCGTGGCTTTGCTGCCGGTTTGGACCAGGCTGCGTGGCCTGCAGGTTGCTGCTCCTATTCAGGGTGGTTTGGCTGCTCAGGGCCCCTGGAGGTTCCAGGTGGACTTTAGGACGAGTTTTTCGGTTTCTGCAAATAAACCCGTGGGATTTGGATGCTGATTGGATTCAGTCTCTGTTCGCTTTAGGTGGGCGTGGACGGTGGGTGGCTTTCCACTTAATTGTGGCTTTTGTTCCTTTTCGTTGTTTTTGTAGTTTTCATGGTACAAGTTTTTCTCCCTCTCTGTGTGTTTCACTGTCCCCGTTTTTCAATTTTTTAAATTTTTGGTGAACCCTCCCCGGGATATTGTTTCCTCTGATTTTTAGAGAGAGTGGACGGGCCGGGGAGAGACAGACAGAGAGACAGCGATTGGTTGCCTCCTGCACACACCACAACCGGCGGCTTCTAGGTGCGTGCCCTGGACCGGAGTTGAACCCTCGGCCTTTCAGTCCGCAGGCTGACGAGTGACCGCGGAGCCACGCCGGCCGGGCTCCTTGTCCCGTCTTCCATCTCCATGTCAGGTTTATTTTTTTTATTATTTTGTTTTTTTAAAAATACTTTATTGATTTTTTACAGAGAGGAAGGGAGCGAGATAGAGAGTCAGAAACATCGATGAGAGAGAAACATCGACCAGCTGCCTCCTGCACATCCCCCACTGGGGACGCGCCCGCAACCCAGGCACATGCCCTTGACCGGAATCGAACCTGGGACCCCTCAGTCCGACGCTCTATCCACTGAGCCAAACCGGTTTCGGGCGTCAGGTTTATTTTTAAGTCTTTTACTCTCTTTTTCCTGCTGTTGTCAACGGCACCGATTTGTTCATTTCCTTTTTGGGGGTTCACTGCCAGGCGTGGAAATGCCATTGGTTCCGTTGACTTTGTATCCTCCTGGTTTTTGCTGGAATCGCTGATGAGTTCTGGTCACACCTTTGTGTGAAGTCATTGGGGTTTCCTGTGTCCATTTTATCCTCTTGCAGCCTGGATCCCTTCTGTTTGTTTCCTTGTCCGGCGCTCGGCTGACGGGCCCAGGGCGTGCTGAGTGGAAGCGGCGAGAGCAGCGTCTCCCTCTCGCCCGGGATCCGAGAGAAGCTGAAACCTTTCCCGTGGATGTGTTTGCTGTGGGTTATTCTGCGGCGCCTCCCTTCTGTGGCCTGTAAACGTGCTGCCCGTGCTGCCCGGCCCACACATCACAAACTCCGGAAGACGCCCTCCTGTCCCTCCTTCTGGGACTCAGCTCCGAGAGTCCCGCAGTCTCTGTCTGGGTGGCCTCAGGGTAGCTGCTCACACCGGGTCCTGGTGCATGGAAGGTGGAGCCCTCAGTCCCTTCCCTCCCTGAGGGGGGAGGGGGGAGGGGAGGGGCCGGAAGGGGAGTCATCTCCAGTGGCCAGTGGTTTAATCTGTCACTCACTCCGGTGGTGAGCACGGAGATGGGGCGCAGAGATGGGCGCGCTGCTAACGGGCGGCCCAGAGCTGTGACTGTCTGATCCACCGGTGGTCCCCGTGGCAGACGTTTCTCTGAGTTCTAAGCGGAACATTGGAGCCTGGAGGGCAGCGGTTCTCAACCTGTGGGTCGCGACCCCCTTGGCGGTCGAACGACCCTTTCACAGGGGTCGCCTAAGACCATCCTGCATATCAGATATTTACATGATGATTCATCACAGGAGCAACATGACAGTTATGAAGTAGCAACGAAGATAATGTTATGGTTGGGTCACAACATGAGGAACTGTATTTAAAGGGCCAGAAGGTTGAGAACCAGGGGAAAACGCCGGCGGCACCTCCTGTCTCTCGTTTGTTGGGTGTTTTTACCGCGAAAGGGTTTTCCGTGTCGTCGGATGCGTTTCACACAGTTGACATGATCGTGTGGCTTTTCCTGTTCCCGTGAGTGTGGAACGTGACGCCTGCCACTCGTGCGTCGGCCGCCTTTCGGGAGCCGCCCCTGGGTTAGCGTGTGACCCT